CCACGTTTTTGTAATGAACTAAAAAGTAGAAAATAATTTTCTCTTGTGGCTATAGAAATTTTTGAAAATTAATTGAGTCGATAGTAAGTGACATGAAAACTTTTGATTATGAACTCTTAATAATTATGATAATATTTGTAAAATTTTAAACGAAAAACGTGGTGCGCATCTTGTCACTTTAAATGATCATCATCGTCCTTAATTACTTTAACTATTGCTTCCTTCTTCTGTTCTTTTTTTTTGTTAAATGCGCACCACGTTTTTCATTTAAAATTTTACAAATATTATTGTAATTATAAAGAGTTCATAATCAAAAGTTTTTATGTCACTTACTATCGACTCAATTAATTTTCAATAATTTCTATAGCCACAAGAGAAAATTATTTTCTACTTTTTAGTTCATTACAAAAACGTGGTTTTATAAAAAGTTTTTTTTTTGTTATATTATTTTCTTATTTTTAGTTTTTGATGGGTGGAATTTTGCAATTAGATTTTAATTTCAGAACCTCTATGTAGAATGCAATTATAAGGACAAATCAGATATAAAATTATATACAATATAAATTGCGGCAACGCCTCCAAAAGTTTCGCCATAATAAATTTTATTTTGCTGAAATTGTTCAAGAAACTCGGCAAATCATGGTAAAAGTAGTATAATATTGCATTGTCATCGGGTTCTGTGCTATAGTAAAAGTTTCAGAGCTCTAGCTAATCGAAAAGTGGGTTGAAATTGAGTTGCAAAATTCTACCCGGACAAACAAACAAACAAGAATGTGAGCTAATAAAAACGTGGTAAAAAAAGAACACTAATGAAAAAATATATTGCCCCATACTTAACCCTTAGTTGATGTAGCAGCACTCTTTCTTGGCATCTATCTATAAGATTGTCAATGGAAGCCCCCATAGCTTCTTGTTTAAGTATGACTTCATCAGTATTCTACTGATGAAGTCATACTTAAACAAGAAGCATACAGACTACTGATTATCATAGAGTCGTCCGCTATTATAATCAGTAGTCCGGTAAAATAACTTTTATTTTTGATATTTTTTTTTTGCTTGAAAAAAACTCAAGAAAAAAAAAATTTAACACCTGACTGCTAAAATATGACTAATAAGAAACGATTTAATTAAATCTTCATATATAAAAATAAAACTTTATAGTTCAAAATACAATTTTATTAATAAATACTTTTGTGTATTTATTAATAAAATTGTATTTTATTAATAAATACACAACTTGTGTCTGAATGTTCTGCTGGACTATTGAAATGCTTTTTTTTCTTAATTTCAGTAGCCATTTGAGAAAACGAGTTGTCCCCTGCCACAGGACGACCATGAGGGTACACCCCTGTATATATATATATATATATATATATATATATATATATATATATATATATATATATATATATATATATATATATATATATATATATATTATATATATATATATATATATATATATATATATATATATATATATATGCACTTTATATATATACACTCTATGCACATATATATATACATATATATATATATATATATATATATATATATATATATATATATATATATATATATATATATATATATATATATATATATAGTATATATATATATATATATATATATATATATATATATATATGCACTTTATATATATACACTCTATGCACATATATATATACATATATATATATATATATATATATATACTATATATATATATATATATATATGCACTTTATATATATACACTCTATGCACATATATATAAACATATATATATATATATATATATATATATATATATAATATATATATATATATATATATATATATATATATATATATATATAATATATATATATATATATATATATATATATATATATATATACAGGGCTCAAATTAAGCGTATCGCGATTGCTTTTTACATGTTCGCGATTAGTTTTTTCTTAAAACATATATTTTCGCAATTGGTTTACTTTTTTAGTTGTTTATTTACTATTTTTCTAATTTAGCTTTTTTATTTTTGGCAATTCTTAAAGTAATGTTTTCGTAATAAAGTACGTCACGCAAAGTTTGTCTTTTGAATAGAAGCATGATCATTTGCACTTTCGCGCGGATACTTTTATTCAACGTAAAGCACTTTTTAATCTAAACTTTTTTGCTTTCATGTTTTTCGCTTTAACGACCTTGAAACTATTGAAGTTATATTTAGTTAACTTTACTGATAGAGTATTTACGGATAGAGTATTTACTGATAGAGTATTTACGGATAGAGTATTTCACAGTAAATTAACTTATAACCTAAATCAAAACAACCAGTTAAGTTAAGATAGTAACTTACAGTTATTCAAGTATTAATTTAACATTTATATTAATTTATTTAATATACTCGCAAAAGTTAGCCATAGACGTGTTTCCATTTAGATCTTACATGTTGTTAACACATATTATAACCTTTTAACTAATAATTATTTTAACAAAAATTGTCGAATAGAATATGAAAAACGCGACACCATTTTTTTATATTTTCATTTTATTTATAGCAACATCTAGACTAAACATTTTCTATAAATACGCAATTGTTTTCAGGAATTTTATTTAAAAAGAAATCAATTTAACAAGAGAACTTTAGCCTTAAAATTTACTTATTCAAATAATTTTGTGATTGAAATTTGAAATTTAAAAAAAATTTAAAAATTTAAAAAAAGTTTGATGAAACAAGGGAGAAAAGAAGAAAGTTTTTTTTTCTTAAATCGTAAACTTTTTTAACGTTTTGAATTATATATTTTTTCTTGAAAATAGTTTTAAAAGTAGAAACATTCTATTGCAAACATCAAAGCAGTGATTACAAATTGCAAGTTAAAATAAAAATTATAAAAAATCTAAATAAATTATTTTACTTCTGTTCGAAAAAAAAATTTTCTAAAAAAATAATTTAAGCATACTCTTATACTTAATATATTAATATAATTCGATTTATTAAACAAAATTTTTTTGTTTCACATTTTTTTGAAAAACAATTAGAATAAAAAAAAATTGAATGAAAACATCAGTTTAAAAACCATTTGAATCAAAAACTTATTTATACTTAAATTTTTAATCGTACGCTTGATAAGGAAACAATAATTTATAAAAGACATGGTATCTATTGTTTTTATGCTTTGATCTTACTCATTTGGTCCATATATTATAAACTCGTGAAGGTCTATAGGCGCAAATATTTTTGTTTTAGTTTATTAACTAGATCAATTTTATTTATTTGCTTCCTTTTATTTTAAACGCGTTTTATTTTATAAATTGTATAAATCAACATGAAACAGCGTCACAAACTTGTTTTACATTAACCCAATCTCTTTATATTTTTAAAACAACTTTGCAGTTTGTTTTAATGTTGTTTTATAACTTTTAACAATTGAATACTTTTTAAAATTAACACGTGTTTTAACATCAGCATGAACGTATTAAATAGTTTTCTTTGACTAATTAAAGTGGTTTAGATATTGCTATGTGGCTTTTTCCCTACTTTTTTTTCTTTTACTTTATTAAGTATCATTTTAAGAAAAATATATACTTAAAGAAATATCTTAATAATATTAAAAAAGTTATTGCTTATTATAACCGCAACTTAAACTTTAAGTTATAACTTAAGTTGTAAATAATAACAGTAACTTACGCTATTTTAAACTCTGCTGAACAAGAAAATTATAAGATTATATTTAAATATAGAGATAATATATTAAAAGTAGAACAATTACGTACAAAAGTTACAATTATATACTAACGCAACTTCCCTCCCCCCATTACCGCAAAGAAGCGCAAGGTATTGGGGGGGAAGGTGAAATTTTTTTTTTTTTTTTGCGATTAGATTTTTTTGCGTTAATTCAAGCCCTGATATATATATATGTATATATATATATATATATATATATATATATATATATATATATATATATATATATATATATATATATATATATATGTATATATATAAATATATATGTATATGTATGTATATATATATATATATATATATATATATAGTCTTGCATGTCTCTTGCGTAGCATCAAATAATATTTCCCATAAACTGTAGTTTTAAAGAGCGCGTTAATAAACCAGACCAGAAAAAGTTTTAAAAATTAAATTTTTTTTTTTAATTGATAGACTGCCTGGCCAAACCAAACCCTCAGTCGATGTAGCAGCACTCTCTTGCAAGTCAGGCTATTTGTCAGTTGTTGTAGCAGCACTCCCTTGCGAGTCAGGCTATTTGTCAGTCGATGTAGCAGCATTCCCTTGCGAGTCAGGCTATTTGTCAGTCGATGTAGCAGCACTCCGTTGCGAGTCAGGCTATTTGTCAGTCGATGTAGCAGCACTCCGTTGCGAGTCAGGCTATTTGTCAGTCGATGTAGCAGCACTCCGTTGCGAGTCAGGCTATAAGATAGTCGATGTAGCAACATTTACGCATGTTTTAAAAATGTTTTTTATTAAATCAATAACAAAAACACCACTAATTAAAAAAAACTTTCTAGTCGTTATTTTTGCGGTTTTTTTAAAATTTTTTTAAAAAACAATTAAATTTAATGTACTTCCGCATAAATTAATTGCTTTGACATTTCGATGACAATCAAAAACAGCTTAAGAGACGAGGTAATTAAAATTGTAGTCGTAAGAGACTTTTTTTACATTAAAATGCTCTTAAAGCGACACTATATGAGTATATATATATATATATATATATATATATATATATATATATATATATATATATATATATATATATATATATACATATATATACATTTGTTGACTTTTATGCATACAAGTCTAAGTAATTATTAAAACTATAAAATTTTACATTATACAATTCTAAAATATTAGCATTATAAAATAGTTCATTAGGGTGTCATGTCCTTTATCTACCTGTTATTAAGTAAAGT